TGGCAAAGCCATTCGGTTTATCACACACACACACACACACACACACACTACACATGCACACACATGTATGTGCGTATGTTATATATATTTATATGAACACACACATATACATGCACACACATACATTCATGCATACAATATACAGTCTAAGTGAGAGAAGTAAACAGAAAATTTAGCAAAAAATAAGAACCGTGTATCTCTGGAGGTGTTGGTGCCTTTTTAGCATCAAGTGGAATAAGCCTGCTGAAGAATGAAGTCAGCACAAAAGCAAACAGTGCTGGGATACAGAAAGAGCAGCGAGATGAGATAACAGTTTTGAAATCCTGGATACATTTGTGTGTGTGTGGAAGGTAAAACTATCCTCTTGAATGTCCCAGTCACAAGCCAAAGTATCAACGCCTTGAAAGAGGTCTTCCTAATTGATTGTACTTGTGCTTGCATTCTTCTATTAATATCACCTAATTAAGTTTCCTTATATTTGTTTCATTCAATATTTAAAATAGAATTCTTATATCTATAAAGATAGTTTACCTATATTGAGAGTATACATCTTATGCACAGACTTGGGCAGGTACTTTTTTAGAATTGTCTCACAGAATCCTCATGTAGTAGGCTGCTGTCTTACAAATGGTGTAACTGAGGCTTAGAGAGTTGAACACACTTGACCAAGATGAGAAAATTTGTACATGGTAATTTTCAAATCCATGCTTCTCAGTACTAAGTTAATCTGCTTCTTTGTAGCACATGAGAAACATATTTGTGCTACTCAAAAGAGATAATTATACATATCTCCACTTATCCAAAATATTTATAGTTAGATAGAATGACACTAACGTTTAAAAGTGTTCTAGAATAAATTATCCTAAAATGGCTACATTAATGATTCAAATATAAAACCTGCTATAAAAGAAAGAAGACCAAATTGTAAACAATTTTTCAAAAGTAAAAACATCCTTCTTAATATAGAGAGCATTAAATTTTAAAGCTCTCATTAAGTATTTAAAAGTCATAAAGTTAAAATAATTTCTTAAGTCTTTTAGCAAAATGAAGAATGATCTCAGAGATAACTGGAGAAATCCAACAAAATGAGGAATTAGAAAGGGTTAACTAATTCATAAGGAGAATAGCATTTTAGGAAAAATGCACATTTTAATAATGTATACATTTTTATGAATTGTGTATACTTTTAAAGCACATAAAATTCATTATAGCAAAGAGATAAAAAAATTATAAGCATCTCTCATGAGAAAAAATCTTGTGAAATTAAAAATGTACATACATAATAGCAATTACTGAATTTCATCATGTATGAAATAGAATTACATTGCAATAAGAGAGTCTCATAAAATGCATCAGCTATACCTATATTTTGCTACAAACAGCAACAGCAAAAAACATCCCACAAATGAGAGGAAGGATCATGCAGTCACCATGAAAACTTGACCATATTACTTTAAAAAATAATACTAATGTATAATGAACAGTTGTTAATTTTGGAAAAACAGGTACCTATATGGTAATGTGATGGAATGAATAAGTTTTCAGCACACATTTTTTTTTATCCTAGGAATCAAGATAAAACATTAAATTTTGCAGAATCCATCATAAATAATATTAATTTTAAAAGCTACTTATTGACATAATGTTATGGCTCTTTAAAACAAAAAAAGTACATAATAAGCAAAGTCCAAGCGCATTTCATTTATATATATTAAAAAAGTGCTAGTTCTCCTTACAGAGATCTTTTAACTCCTTGATTAGCTGTGTTCCTAGGTATTTCATTTTTGTGTGTGGCTATTGTATATGGGATCCGCTCTTGATTTGGTTCTCAGCTAGAATGTAATTGATGTACAGAAATGTTATGATTATTGTGTATTTATTTGCTAACTGAAACTTTACTGAAGTACCTTATTAGTTCTAGAAGCCTTTGGCAGGGTATTTAAGATTTTTCTATGTGTATAATTGTCTTATTTGCAAAGAACTATAGTTTGACTACTTATTTGCCTATTTGTATGCTTTCTATTTCTTTCTCTTGCCTCATTGTTCTGGCTAGGACTTTCATTACTAGATTGAATAAGAGTGGTGAGTGTGGGCATCACTGTCTTATTCTAGTTCATGAAGTGACTGTTTCAAGCTTTTGCCCATTCAATATGATGTTAACTGTGAATCTGTCATAGATGGCTCTTATTATTTTGAAGTATTTTCCTTCAATGTCTAGTCTTTTGAGGATTTTTCATTTTGAATGAATATCAGATTTTATCTAAAGTGTTTCTGCATCTATTGAGATAATCCTATGGTTTTGTTTTTAATTTTGTATATGTGGTGAATCACATTTATTGATTTGCATATGTTGAAAAAACGTTGCAACCTAGGAATGAAGCCTACTTAATCATGGTGAATTAACATTTGATATGCTGCTCGATTTGATTTACTAGTATTTTGTCAAGAAGTTTTGAATCTATGTTCATCAGGGATATTGACTTGTAGATGTGGCTTTTTTTTTTTTCATTGTGTCTTTACTATATTTTTCTTTTATCAGGATGATGCTGGCTTCACAGAATGAGTTAGGGAAAAATCTTCTCTTCCTTGATGTTTTGGAATAGTTTCAGTAGAATTTGTGCCAATTCTCTTCTTTGTATGTTTGGTAGAATTAGGCTGTGAGTCCATCTGGTTCAGGGTTTCTTTTGGTTGGGAGGTTTTTTCTTACTAATTCAGTAATAGAATTTGTTATTGTTCTGTTTACATTTTCACTTTCTTCCTGGTTCAATTTTGGGAGGATGTGTGTTTTCAGGAATATATCCATTTCCTCTAGATTTTCTAATTTGTCTCCACCAAAGTGTTCACAATACTTCCTGCAGATATTTTATATTTCTTTGGGATTGACTGTTATGTCATAAATGTTACTTCTGATTGTGCTTATTTGTATATTCTCTTTTTTTTCCTTTGTGAATATAGCTAGTGGTCCATCAATATTGTTTATGCATTTAGAGAATCAACTCATAATTTTATTAATATTTTATATAGATTTTTATGTTTCAATTTTGTTCAGTTCTTCCCTTATTTTAGTTATTTCTTTTCTTCTCTTAGATTTGGGACTGTTTTATTTTTTAGCTCTTCTAGGTGCAATGTTAGATTATTAATTTGAGATCTCTCTAACTTCTTGATGAAGGCTACAAAACACTGCTGGGAGAAGTTGGAAGCAACAGAATTAAACAGAAAGGCATTCCATGGAATGAATGAATATGGAAGAATCAATATCATTAAAATGGCCATACAACCCAAAGCAATGTATAGATTCAATGGTATTTCTATAAAACTGCTATTGTCATTTTTCACAGAATTAGAAAACATCTATGAAATCTATGTGGAACCTAGAAAGAGCCTGATTAGCCAAAGGAATATGAAGAAAAAAGGAACCAAGCAGGAGCCATCACATTATCAGATTGCAAACTCTAATATAAAGCTACAGAAACCAAAACAGCACAGTACTTGTACAAAAACAGACACATAGACCAATGGAACAAAATACAGAATCCAGAAACAAAGGCATACACCTACAATTATCTGATCTTCAATAAAGTTGACCAAAATAAGCAATGAGGAAAGGATTTCCTAGTCAATAAATGGTGCTAGATAACAGGCTAGCCATTGGCAGAAGAATGAAAATGGATCCCTCTCTTTCACCGTATGAAAAATTCACTCAGGGTAGATTAAACATTTAATTTTAAGACACTGAATTATAAAAATTCTAGAAGAAAACCTAGGAATTATTCTTCACATTCTTCTTGACGTAATTTACCCACGTTGACATTCTTTACCCATTTTGCAAAGAATTTATGGCTAAGTCCCCAAAAGCAATTGCAACAAAAAAGTTTACAAGTGAGACCTAATTAAACGAAAGAGATTCTACACAGCAAAAGAAACTACCAACACAATAAACAGAAAACTTACAGAATCGGAGAAAATACTCACAAACTATACATCCAAAATAGGTCTAATATCCAGAATCTATAAGGAACTTAAATCAACAAACAAAAAACAACGTCATTTAAAAACACTGGGTAAAAGACATGAATGGAAGCTTCTCAAAAGAAGACATATATAAGGTCAATGAATATATGAAAAAAATGTTCATCATTGCATTTCAGAGAGATGCAGATCAAAACCACAATGAGATATTGTCTCACACCAGTAAGAATAGCTAAAAAGTCAAAAAATAGTAGATGCTGGTGAGATTTCAGAGAAAAGAGAATGCTTGCACACTGTTTCAGGGAACGCAAGTTAATTCAACCACTGTGGAAAACAGTTTGGAGATTTCTCAAACAACTTAAAACAGAACTATCATTCAACCAAGCAATATCTTTATTGGGTATATACCCAAAGGAAAATAACTTTTTCTACCAAAAAGACACACGCACTCGTTATATTCATTGCAGCACTATTCACAATAGCAAAGACATGGAATTTATCCAGGTGCACACCAATGGTAGATGGCATGAAGAAAAAAAAAAACAGTTGAAACACATTGTGGAATAATATGCGGCCTTAAAAAAGAATAAAATCATTGCTTTGAAGCAAATTGGATGCAACCAGAAGCCATTATTCTGAACATATTAACATGTTAACAGAAAACTAAATATCACATATTCTCATTTACAAATGGGAGCTAACTATTGAGTACACAAGAATATAAACATGGGAACAGTAGACACAGGGGACTACAAGAGGTGGGAAGAAAAGAGGGGTGTGTTGGCTGATAAATTACCTATTGGGTACTATGCTCACCACCTGGGGTGATGTAATCATCTGTACCCCAAACCTCAACAACACACAATTTACCCATGTAACAAACCTGCGCTTGTACCCTCTGAATCTAAAATATAAGTTGAAAGTATTTTTAAGTGCTAAGGTTATATGTAATAGGAAGTTCTACAGTAGTATAAATCAACAGACTCAAACTTTAAAACTTTCTTAACCACTTTATATAAAGACTACCTTACCTTGGGCTAGTTACTTTCCATCTCTCTGCCTCTGTCTGCTCATTTATCAAATAGAGATAATAATAGTGCTTAGCTTCAAAGGATGCTGTGAATATAAAATAACAACATAAATAGAATAATTTTAGCATAGCTCCAGAATATTATTCTTGTTCTGTAAATATTAGCGATGACACTCATTAAATTATAATTAAGTGGATATAAACTTGGACTAGAGACTTAATAATAATGAAAGATAATTTCAAACTAAATTCAAACTTCTTCAGATATTCTGAAGTATAGGTGTCCAATATGGAAAATAATACTTGGTGAATTTTTTTATCTTCAGACAATAAATTTCCACCTGTATTTGAGGCTGTTTCTAGAGCTTGAACTGACAAAGTGACTTATGAACCATGATTCTAGGATTAACAGTGTTGTATTTTTAAACTCCCATTCCTCAGACTGATTTAATAATTTTAGTACCTTATATTATAGGATATAGTGATAACCATTGTGTTATGTTTTATTAAAAAAAAAATACTTGCTGCTTCTCTCTGACGTCAGAGTTGAATATATGACTGGCTTTGGGCCATGGAATGTTACTTGTGAGGAGAAACTTTAAAAGAGTGAGCATAAGGCTTGTGAAGTTCTCTTAGTTCTCTGTCGTGAAAACAATGTTGCAGCTAGAGGTTGCTTCCTTAGTTTAACTCCAAAAGCCCAGATGACATGGAGCAAAATTAAACCAGAGTCATGCTGGATATGAAAAAAATAAATTCTTGTATGGCACTATTATTTATATGCAAGCAACATTATAGTATAATCTAGCTAGTGGTTACTTAAAGAGTTATAATAAATATTCAGTTTTCTTTTATTTCCCTAAGCATCACTCTCATTAGCTTTTCATAATCCTGCATCCATCTGTAGCTATTAGGATTAAGTAGTAGACAAATAACAGAGATAAATAAAATCACCTATGTAGTAAGAAATGCTCCAGGACTCAGAGTGTCCCAAAAGTCAAAGGAAGTTCCTGTCATCAAAGGGTCAAAAGCCCACAGATGACCTCAGATGAGCCCAGTCCAATTCAACTTTGGTTAAGCACATTGCACTGTGTCTAGGACTTGCCAAAGTAGTAGAGAAACTGAGGAACAACATAGTCCTCATGTTCAAGGTCCTTTCAGTCTAAGGAGAAAATAAAACATTCAAAATAGAGTAAAGGATCCTATATTACAGGAAGACCTGGGAGTCAGCAACAGTACAATGAAAGAAGCAGTCATCTCTACCCAGAAAACATTCACAGAAGACAGTATTGGAATGAATCACACTGACAGTAGAAAGGAGTTACTCAAATCAGGTAAAGGACTAAAACCACATCACTGCATTTGACAATTAGTGAATACCAGTGGAACCATGCTGAAAATTTTTCTGGGTAGATATGAGGGCAACAGTTTGATTTTAAGCAGAATGAGGACTCAATGGAAAAGACAAGTGGATCAAATTAATGTAACTATTTTTTGGTAATATTTGTGTATAAAAAATAGGTACGATGCAGACTGCAGGTGTGTGCCAGGTTTGCTAAAATTGAATGGTTTATTACTTTAGCATTTTGAACAAAAATAGGCAAAGTACATAATTGATGAATTGCAGTTCCAGATAAGATGTCAAATGATGGCATCAAGAGTCCAGGTCATGAGCAGGGGCAGTAGTCACTCACCTGAGACTAGAAGCAAAGATATAACAATAGTTAAGTATAAAAGTAGTGGAGAGTTGATGTTTTAGAGATTTTATGCTTGGTGGACAACTACATTTTTCTGGAAAATTAGATCCCAGTTTCATTTCTGTGGCTAAAGATGACAGAGGTTATGAAGACTGAGGTGAATGGTATAGCTAGAGAATAGCCTATGAGTAGAATAGAAAATAAAATAAATCAAATAAAGTAATTGGTAAATCTGTATCAGAACAGTTGAAATATTCATTTCTTTCTTGCACTGCAATTCCATCTGCAGGAATTTATTCTAAAGAAATAACCTGAAACATATAAAAAGTTCTGAGCAAATTTGTTTGTCACAGTTATATCTTGAGAAAAACTAATAATATAAAAACTATGATAATGGTTATAAACTTATGATACTTCCTACAACCTTTATAACTTCTAAAAAAGAGCTTACAGTGATATGGAAAAATACTTGTGTGCAAAGTTAAGTATGAACGCTATCCACATATATAATATACTCATTTATTAAACATCAATAATAGGTCAATCGCTAGAGGGCATACATATATACATATATTATGTATGTGTAAATATATGTAACTATATAACATATATTATTTATTTTTCTACATTTTCTTTTATAATAAAATAGAGCACTTTTATAATAAAATAAGATACGCCTCATGTTAACTCATATAGCCAAATAGCAGAAGATTTCAACAGATAGTTGAAAAGGGTTGTAGAAGCAAAGCAATAAGCTTGGAATTTGTGTGATTATTCACTACTGAGCGTGTTACTTCACATACCCAAAGTCATAATGCATTCTTAACTATGAAAGATAGAAAGTGCAGCTTGTGCAACATAGGGAACTCACATCTCTACACATAATGTAAAAATTAGCCAGCATAATGACACATAACTGTGGTCCCAGCTACTAGGATGGCTGAGGCAGAAAGATTCCTTGAGCCCAGGAAGCCGGGGCTGCAGACAGCTGTGATCGTGCCACTGCACTTTAGCCTGAACAACAGAGTGACACCCTGTCTCAAAAGAAACAACAACAAAAAAGATAAAAAGTCAAAGAGAAAATAATCGAGTGTACCAAAATGTTCATGGAGGTGACCATAGGTTAACCATATGAAGTCCAGTACTTCCCAAATCTTAATATTCACTAGACTATCTTAGGTATCTGTGTATTTAGATTTTTGTGTTACTATAAAGCAATACTTGAGGCTGGGTAATTTATAAACAGTTTTATTTTGACTCATGGTTCTGCAGGCTGTACAAGAAACATGGTACTAGTATCTGCTTCTGGTGGGGGTGTTAGGAAGCTTACAATCATGGCAGAAGGTGACTGGGAAACAGGCACACCACAGAGTGAGAATGGGACCAAGAGATAGGAGGAGATGTCACACTCTTTTAAACAACCAGATCTCACATTAACTCAGAGCAAGAATACACTCATTACCACAAAGATGGTATGAAACGATTCATGAAGAATTCACCTCCATGACACAAACACCTCTCAGCAGGCCCCACCTCTAACATCGCCGATTACATTTCAACATAAGATTTGGAGAGGAGAAATATTCATACTGTATCATTTTGCCCCTGCCCCCCAAAATCTGATGTTTTTCACACATTATAAAATAAAATAATTATTTCCCAATAGTCCCAAAAAGTCTTACCTCACTCCAGCATCACTCAGAAATCCCAAGTCCAAAGTCCTAAGTTTAGTCTGATACTCAAGTCACGTTCATTCCACCTATGGTCTTGTAAAATCAAAAAAAAAAAGTCATTTATTTCCAAGATACAATGGTGGTACAGGTATTGGGTAAACATTCCCACACCAAAAGGGATAAATCAGTCAAAAGAAAGGGGCAACAGTCTCTAAGCAACTCTAAAATCCAGCAGGGCAGACATTAGAACTTAAACTCCAGAATTATCCTTGGCTCCAAGTCCTGTATCCAGGTGATATGGTTTGACTATGAACCACCCAAATCTCATCTTGAATTGTAGCTCCCATAATTCCCATTTGTTGTGGGAGGAACCTGGTGGGAGGTAATTGAATCATGGGGGTGAGTCTTTCCCATGCTCTTCTTGTGATAGTGAATACATCTCATCAGATCTGATGGTTTTATAAAGGGGAGTTTCCCTACACAACCCCTTTTGCTTTCCACTACGTAAGACGTGACTTTGCTCCTCATTTGCCTTCTGCCATGACTGTGAGGCCTCCACAGCCATGTGGAACTGTGAGTCAATTAAACTCCCTAGTTTTATAAATTACCCAGTCTCAGATATGCTTTTATTAGCAGCGTGAGAGCAGGCTAATATACCTGGTGTGAGGGTTAGACTCCCAAAGCCTTGGGCAGCTTTGCTCCTGTGGTTTTGCTGAATGCAGCCAATGCTACTGTTCTGATGGGTTGAAATCTAGTGCCTGTGGCTTTTCAAGGCTGAGGTTGCAAGCTGTTGGTAGTTCTACCATTCTTGGGTCTGGAGGGTGGCAGTCTCATTCCCACAGCTCCATTAAGCAGTGCCCTGGTGGGGACTCTGTATGCAGCCTCCAACACCACATTTCTTCTCAGCATTGCCCTGAGAGAGTTTTTCTGTGGGGGATCTGCCTCTGCAGCAAGCTTCAGCCTGGGTCCCCAGCCTTTTCAATACATCTTCTGAAACCTAGGGGGAAGCTGCCAAGTCTCCTCTATTCTTGTATTCTGTGCACTTGCAGACTTAACACCATGTGGAAACCACCAAGCCTTATGGCTTATGCCCTCTGGAGGAGTAAGGATGTAAAGTGCAGCCTCCTGGAGTGGCAGGGCTGACCCCTAAAACCATTCTTTTCTCCTAGGCCTCTGGGCCTGTGATGGAAGGGACTGTGCTGAAGATATCTGAAATGACTGTGAGGTCTTTTTCCCATTGTCTTGGCTGTTAGTGCTTAGTTCCTTTGTAGTCATGCAAATCTCTAGCAAGTGGTTACTCCACAACTTGCTTGGATTCTTTCTGTACTACAAGGCCAGGCTGCAATTTTGTATGCTCTGACTCCCTTTTAGAAACAAGTTCCAACTTAAGTCACTTATTTGTTCTCATAACTGATCATAAGCTGTTAGAAGCAGGCCACATTTCAAACACTTGCTACTTAGAAATTTCTTCAACCAGGTACCCTAATTCATAAGCTTAAGTTCACCCTTCCACAAAACTCTAGAACATGGATACAATGCAGCTAAATGCTTTGCTACTGTGAAACAAGGGTGACCTTTACTCCATTTTCCAATAAGTTTCTCATTTCCATCTGTGACCTCTTCAGTCTGGCCTTTACTGTCCATTTCTCTATCACCATTTTGTTCACAACTATTTAACCAATCTCTAAGAACTTCTAAACTTTCCCTCACCTTTCTGTCTTCTGCTGAACCTTCCAAACTCTTCAAAACTCTGCCTGTTACCCAATTCCAAAATTGCTTCCAGATCTTCAGGTATAATCTTTAGAGCAATGCTTGACTCCACGGTACCAATTAGTATCATGTTAGCCCATTTTTTGCATTTCTATAAAGAAATACCTGAGTCTGGGTAATTTATAAAGAAAGGAAGTTTATTTTGGCTCATGATTCTGTAGGCTGTACAAGAAACATGGTACCAGTATTTGCTTCTGGTGGGGGTTTTAGGAAGCTCGCAATCATGGTGAAATGTGATGGAGAGACAGACATATCACAATGTGAGAGCAGGAACAAGAGGAAGATAGAGGTGGGACATGCCACACTATTTTAAACAACCAGATTTCACATGAACTCCAAGAAAGAGCTCACTTATTACTGTGAAACTAGCATTCACGAGGGACCTACCTCCAAGACCCAAACACCTCCCATCCGGTCCCAACTCCACATTAGGGATTATGTTGTAATGTGAGATTTAGAGGAGACAAATATCCAAACCATATCAGTATCTAAAATGCAAATTATGATTAAATGGAGTCAGGGTGACATTCTGTATCTCTAATAAGTCCCCAGTTGATGTTCATGTTGCTGGGAAGCTTGGACCACAATTTGAGTAACAAGCATCTTGTCTATGTAAGAAATTCACTAAGAATTAATTCTAAGTGATTATGACATAGTCATTTCGATGTTTAAAAATAACAGCAAGATAAAACTCAAACAATGATTTTGCATCAAATTGATATAATAATAGTATGGAAGCTATCTTAAGGAGAAAGAAAGTTGCAGATAAAGCTTCCTGTCTCCTCAGGATTAGTAGAAATAGCAACCTGAACATCAAGGCTAGAGAATCCAGCCATGATATTTCTTTCTCTTTTTAATTTTTATTGACAAACAAATATATTACCAGTAGGATTACTAATATAATAAATATGCTATTTAGGAAGAGAGAAAAAGCATTTAATTCTATTCCATTATCCCTAGGTATAGATTTAATTAGGTCAATGGAACAACTTAAAATACCTGAAGGGATACCAAGGGAATTACTTACAAACAGAAGTAGATTTACCATAAAGCTGCTGAAGCTTATGCTTCAAGAACAATCAATTGCATAGACATTTCGAAGGTCCTGGTCATAGCAATGTGTTCCATATCACAATACATTTATATGCAATTCCCCAAATAAGATAATTTAATAAAATTGGTTTAAACCATTGCCTTTTTTTTCATCCAGACTTTACTTCTGTTTTATTTTTCATTGTGTCATGTGGCAGGAACTAAATTTTTGTGTACAGCTGAGAGGAAAGTTGAATTGGAGTTACATTTAATCAGGGTTTGGTGGGATATGGTTATGTGGTTTGTAGTCAATTCCATTTATATTATTGCTAGTCTTGCTACTATAGGAGTTTTCCTCCAATCCCCCACAGCTGACTTACTCGGCATCATGATAAAAAGGTACAGAGATAGAGTTATAGCAAAGTAACAATTTGAATTTTTGCACTTTCAAATCACAAAACTCAACTGAAAAAAATTTGATACAGATTTCCCAATTTGACCATAAACAAATTTGTTACAGTTCAGAAATAAATTTTTATATGCTATTAGTAATTTTTAGCAAATTGTTTTGAGCAATTATGCCAGAAGTGAGAAAAATTATCTTATCTCTATAGAAAATATTTTAAAATTCTCATTTGAAGAAAAAATAAAAGCTTGTATATTCCCCAAAATATAGGAAAGGGATTGTTAGGGTATATAATTTTTTATTTAGCATTATAAAATATAGAATTTATTTAATGTAAGCAGTATGTTTTTATTTGGGGAATACATATGTATGTTTTAGTTTTATAATATTTATAATTTATTTTGTTTGATTTTCTCATCAGAAATACATACTGGTTTTAAACCTAATTTTGTATTTATCATATTTAATTCATTTTTCTTTATTAAGCGACCTTCACTTTATAAATTGTACAAGTCCCACAACACCTGGTGTCCCCCAGATACCATCACTTCACTTCTCTGAATTTGTTTTCTCATTTGCAAAGTAATAGCTGTCTTTCTGGGTTAGAGGAAGGATTAATTGAGATAATAAATGTGTTCAGTATAGGTCAGGAAAGGTCAATAAATGTCAGTTGTGTTTTTTACCATTACATGTATACATAGTCAATATTTTAATTATCGATAGTTATTTCTATTATACTATCTGTCCCAGTGATTTTATTATTACATCATCTCTTGATAAACTTTAAATATTAATCCATAGGTTATTCTCAGCATGCAACCCATTACCTTTTTTTCTCATTCAGCGTACCTTCTCATTTAGCACAAATAAATTAATTTAATTATTTTAACATGCTAAAGTATATATAACATATATATGTTATATATAAATTCATATAACATATATAAATATATGTTAAATTTATATAACATATATTATATATGTTAAATTTATATAACATATGAATATATAACATGAATATATATAGCATATATAACATATATAACATAAATATTTACTCTAGTGAAGCAGAATTACATGCCTGTTACATATTTTTTTTGATGAGGCTCTTTACAATTCAGTTTCCACTTACCTCTCCAACTGCATCCTTGAAATTTTAACCATTTCCAGTTTTCAGATACAATACTTGTTTACATGTTGGAGACCCAAGTCATGACCTTTCACTTTTCTCTCTTTTGTATACGGAATTCCTGCTTTTTGGATGTCTTTCTCTCTTTCATAACAATATAAGTTTCTACTCATTCTTTAACAATATTCTTAAATGCTAGATTTTATAAATTATGGCACAATGGATAAGGATTGGCACTTACTTTGTGCTTTAGTCATCTTTTGGCTGCTATAACAGAATATGACAGACAGTAATTTATAAAGAATAAACGTTTATTGGTATCATATTACTGGAGGCCGGAAAGTCCAAGAGCATGGTGCTGGCATTTGGCAAGTGTCATTCTATGGAAGAAGTGGAAGGGCCTGGAAGACAGAGAGAAAATTGGAGCTGAACTTGTTCTTTTATCAGGAGCCCACTTTTACAAAAAATGGTCTTAATTCATTCATGATGGCTCTGCCCTCATGGCCTAATAACCTCTCAAAGATCCCACCTCTTAATTCTTTTAGCATGCCATTCAAGTTTCCAGCACATGAACTTTTTGGGGGAAAAAAATCAAAGAGCATCGTGCATCAACCATATTCACTTAATGAGGATATTGTTAAATATAGTAGACAAAATATAATATCTTATGAACCAGCCATTCCATACCTACAGTGAGAAACTCTCAAACTCTTTATAGGAGGATATGCTCTACATAGCATCTTTGTGCAGAAGAATGTTGAAGGCCACATAGCTAAAATGAATAAATAAAATATAGTAGGAGCACACAAAGAAATGTTTTGAACAGTTAGGCAATTTATTATGTTCATTTTTATTGTTGGAAAAAAAGTAGAAATGAACTCAATCTTCAGCATAAATCCATTGTGTAAATTAAAACATATACAAAACAAACATTTTTACTCAAAAACACAAATATTTAATACATTTGAGTGAGTGCCTATAATAAGAAGAGTGAGGCATTCCTGGAAATACTACATGGAATCTCTAATCCCTTATCTCATGCAAACCTAAGATTATGTTTTCCCCATCTTTATTTCTTTCTCTTTCACCATCTTTTGTCTGGGCGTTGTAATTTATTTAGTGTCAGTCTGTTTGTGCTGCTATAAAAATACCTGAGACTAAGTGTAAGAACAGAAACCAATTTCCTCATAACGGTTAAGTCTTAGAAGTCCAAGAGCAAATTGTGGGCCTGTGTAGTGTCTGGTGAGGGCCTCAGTCTTTGCTTTCAAGATGGGTCTTTGAACATTGTGTCTTCACATCATGGAAGAACAGAAGGACAAAAAGAGGCCTAAGCAACTTCTCTCTAGCCCTTTCATAGGACATTAATCCATTTGTGAAGGCTGATCTCTCGTGACTTAATCAGTTTCCAAAAGTCCTCACCTCTTAATATGACCACAATGGGGATTAAGTGTCAACATGAATTTTGGAGGGGACACAAACCATAGAAATTAAAGAGCTCAATATCTCTCCAAAGGTAGACAATCAAGTCTGTCACTATCATCCGGGAATACACATTGAAAAAAGCAGATACTTGAACTGTATTTTAGAAGTACTGAATGAGAATATATTCTAATACAGCCTAGAAATATATATCTTGAAGAAACAACCCAGGTGCTTCTTAAAAAATGTATTTTGAAAACGATAGACTTAAGCTGTGGGACACATGAAGTCCGAGTCACAGGAATCTCAGGGACACAATTTCTGCAAGAGATGCTGTCAACCATTTTTGACATTGGTTAAACATCATAATTATTCAATAAACATTTGTTTAAAGGCTAACTTGATTAACAATTTAATGGGTGGTGTTACTTCATAGAGAACGGATAGGTAGAAGAAATCAAGACTACCAAAAAAAAAATTATAAATAAAACATAAGTAATTGGAAAAATCTCATTTTAAACCATAATAGAGCTCCAAGTTTACTTATTAATCTCCCATTAACACATATACTTATATATACACATTTGACCATACACGTATATACAATGTAAACATATATATGTATATGAGAAACTTCCCTAGTTTCTAACAAAGAAGATGAACAGCATGCATGCAAGACTAAAGGGTAGCATAATAGCATAGATTTTTGCCTGCTGCTTACATACCCAAAATTTGCATTAGTTTTTGTATCCAACTTTCCTTAATAAGATTGGTAGTCCATTTGGAGTAGATCTGAGCCAAACTTTAAAACCATAATCTGCCCTTGACTATATAGTTCAAATTCTCTTGGGAATTTGTGCCAGTTCAGGAAATTTGAAAATGTTCTTTCATTCAAATAACTGTGTTCAAGCAAAGGGCATGCTGGGATTTGCCATTTTGGCTGTCGTAACAACTACCCCTATCAGTATCTATGCACAGATGCTCAATGTGGGTAACTATTACTGGCAGGTTATGCTGGCGGCTCATACAAATGAATAATCATTGGCTCATGATCACCTCGACTCCCCAGACCACTTGGAATGGCCCAGCTGGGCTAAGTAGGAAATCTAGCTAACGAGAGGGATTTTTTTACCCTCTAGTCATGAAGTGTAATATACAGGATTTCACACAGCTGTCTTTTTAAAGGTTTATCCTAAAGTTTTTAAAGTTATTTCAAAATGCTTTTATTTTTATCTTATTAATAAAAACACCATTTATTTATATTGGATATAAGACAATGATTCAGTGAGGAATTTAAGTTTTGAAATTCATACTTAAAATGGAACATTACTTTTTCCTATGTTGCATTGTCCAATTGCTAATGAATAGTATCAGTCCAGCTGCTTACTGTGAAATTGACACCCTCGCACCATGCATACAATAAAATAAGGAACACAAAACCTGTTATTAAAGCTGAACAGAAAATGCTATTTTTAAATGATTCAATCTATCTAATAGCAGCTAAGTAATGAAGTAAACATCATTAGTGAACTTTTCAGCCTATATTTACATTTTGCTACCTTTCTCCCACCCCATTTCACAAGGTTTCTGAGGATACAGTTTACTCTTTATGCTTAAATTGTGGAACTACAATTTACTGGACCATTAGCATCAAGAAGATATGTGCACTTTTTCACTCTAAAGAACCACACAGAGAAGTATGGGAAAAACAATCTCTGTAATGTGTCTCCATCAGAAAAGATGATGGTACAGTGTTCCTAGATCCTGTGATAGTGAGGAAAATTTAAGAACAATAAACATCTAACCAAAATATGATAGAATGATTTTCCCTACCCTTCTTCAAAATCTGACTCTTAATCCAAAATCTGACTCTCAATCCAATGTCTTTGATCTAGGAAAAGTTATTATACACTTTACTTTTGAGTTGGTATAAGTATAAGACAGAAAATTTCCTGAAGCCTTTTATCTTGAATTTCTAAATATAATTTAAAGGGAAATTATAATTTCTAATTAGGATGTCATTAGGAATATTTCCTGAAGTTGCTTAATTCTTACCTAAGGAGTACTGTAACTTCTTTTATGACTAAAATTATTACTGTATTACAATCTACAGATTTAGATCTTTCTTTTCCTTTCTCAATGTATGATTGTTTACCTCAGCTTTGAAAATGTGGCAATATGCCAATTTTTATTTCTTCATCCCCCAGCCTTTTTTTTGCATTCTTCTTCAGCTGCACCTTGAACTTCAGAGTTTCTTCTATCTGCAGCTTTCAGAATTTCTTCTATCTGCAGCTTTCTTCTATCTCCTCTTATTACCTTATATATTTGTTCAGGTAATCTCCTATATTAATATTACAATCTTTGACATACTCATTTTAATCTGTGTCTTCATGTCATTTATTCACCTGAGCTTCAGTAGGTAGCCAGATGACAATTCAGCTTGAAATTCAAATAAAACCCTAATATTCACTTAGATTATTTTTTACCACGTCTTTTTTTTTTTTTTCTGGGGCTCTCTGTCATTTAACATCATCACTATGCACCCAGGTCAATTAAGAAACCTTGGACATATCATTGATTGCTCCTACTCTCTAATTTTACATCAAATCAACCACCAAGTCAATATGAATCTTCCATACTTTTGTCTACATTTCACAGTTCCATTTCCCATTTACCTAGTGAAACACTAGCAACTGTTTTGTACATGACAGCAGTGTGATTATTAACCTGCCCATCTTTGTCTCAGCACTCTCCAATTCATTCCCGACAATGCATCAAAAATAATCCTCTATTTGACTTTACTATTACACTGTAATAGCTCAGTGCCTTGACACCTTTCAATTCCCTTAGGAATATAACTCTCTCTCTCTCTATATATATATATACACACACACACACACACACATATATATATACACACACACACATATATACACACACACACACACACATACACACACACACTCAGTGAATATTTGTTTAATAAATATACTAAAATATGTTTTGGAGTTTTCCCACATGAAAACTAATCTAATGAAATACTTTCTTCTGTCTTGAAACCTAGAGACACTATTTTTTAAAATGGAAGGATTAGCCTATAGGTCCCTATATTATTTACTCCCTCTAGTCACCCTATATTTTCTGAAACAATTTGATACAAATATTTAAGAGCCTTGAAAACATACAATGTTCCTCCATTTTTATGAAAGAAGAAAGAGGGGCAAAAGACTTCAGAAAAATTAGAGAAAAGAAGGAATTTTAGCAGAGCCAGATATATTGATGATATAAAAGCAAAGACTTGCAAAGCAAAAGATGCAAATAAGAAAACTTACAAATTTAATTTCATTCAAATATTAAAGAAATGAAATATGACTATTTTTTTAAAATCCCAGGAGTCTTACAGATAAACAACTGTATTATATTTAATTTGGCAAGATTTTATAAATTAAAACATTATTTTATTTAATATCTAGAAAAACAAAGTATGACAGAATATTGTTAGCCCTATCATGTAAGTGACAAAATTGAAGCATAGGGTAAAACCTTGACAGAAATTATGGAGTCAGTAAATGCAGAAGAAGCATTAACACTCAGATCCACAGTTCTTAACTTCATTCTTGGTCACAGTAAGATACATCACCATATTTATTTATTTATTTATTTATTTATTTATTTATTTATTTATGCATTTGTTGAGACAGAGTCTCGCTCTTTCACCCAAGCTGGAGTACAGTGGTGTGATCTTGGCTCACTGCAACCTCTGCCTCCCAGGTTCAAGCAATTATCTGCCTCAGCCTCCTGAATAGCTAGGATTAGAGATGCCCGCCACCACACCTGACCAATTTTTGTATTTTTAGTAGAGACGGGTTTCACCATCTTGGCCAGGCTGGTCTTGAACTCCTGACCTTGTGATCCACTTGCCTCGGCCTCCCAAATTTCTGGGCTTACAAACGTGGGGCACCGGGCCGGCCACATCAGCATTTTTTAAATTAGAATGGACTATACTTCCAATTTGCCCTAGTCACTTTGGATTTGACAATTATTCAATTCTCTCCACTTATCATTCATACATCAAAGTCATATTTGTATGGTATAATCATTCATAATATATTTAGAAAAATTTTCATTAAATACAGAGTATTAGATTGCTTAAAAATTTAAAAACAAGTAGCTTTTATTTTATTTTTAATTTTTATTTTTTTTATTTCCATAGGTTTTTGGGGAAGAGGTCGTGTTTGGTTACATGATGGTGACTTGTGAGATTTTAGTGCACCCATTACCTAATCAGTATACACTGAACTCAGTGTGTAGTCTTCTAGTCCTCACCCACCTCCCACACTTTTCCTGGAGTCCCCAAAGTCCATTGTATCATTCTTAGGCCTGTGAATCTCATAGCTTTTGTAAATAAGTCTTTGTCACACATGAGATAAAAGTCAGAGCAGTTATGAAACAAATAGAAACTTTTGAGTTTTTCAGCAACAAAATGATATTCATATCATTCCAAAGGAGTATCTCTACAATCAATAATGGTCTCTTCCAACCCATTTTTGATGCAATAATCTAAGATGTTTTTCTAAAACTCAAATAAGATTACGCCCTCTCCAGTTTAGAAAATGTAAGTATTCTTTCCTAGCTAGGATGACCACCCTTTGTTGATTACTTTGCATCCATTTTCCCCTTCTCCTATGCCAGAAGTTTTTAACTGGAGGTGTTTTTTACCCTCTGGGAAAGATTTGGCAATGTATGGAGACATTTTTGTTCTTCATAACTAGGGAAGAGGCTGCAACAGTCTTTTAGCGGTATAGGACAAGGATGTAGCTAAACACCTTCAATGCACAGCATAGTCCCTCACCACAAAGAATTATCTGGCCCCAAATCTCAACAGTACCAGGATAGTGAAACCATCTTCTATGTTTAACTATATGTCAATTAATTTATATCAGTATTGTGATTTGTCACCAGAAAAAAACCAAAATTCACCAAATTAACATATACAATATTTTATAATTTAATCCCTGCTGACACCTCAACATTATTTATTGTTACTCTACTTCTTTGTTCTGAATTATTTGCCATTTATAAAAATCACGCATGTATCTGTCAAGATGAGATAAGCCGTACCACATGGAGAAACACCTCTAAAATAACAGTAGCTTACAGTCACAAACTTTATTTCTTATGCTATGTGCCCAAGGTATATTGATAAGAGTGTTCTCATTGTACTGAAAGAAACTCAAGCAAATGGAGGCTCTATCATCTTAAGAAGCTTTTATTTCAAGCTGAGTCTTCAGGTTTCAGAGTAGCAGGAGAAGAGAACATGGAACATTGCAACGTGACCCTTAGTTGCTTCTATCCAACAACAAAATACATCACTTCCCACTCATATTGGTCACAACATCTTGGCCAAACAAGTCACATGGATGTGGCCTAACCAGCATAGCATTTTCTTGGAAGAAAAGAGGAATTAGAACTCTTAGTGAGCACTAGTAGTATCTACTCTTGTGGGTTATTCTTTTTTCTCCTTATTTCCAGGACTAATTCATATTTAAGTTTAATTTAATACATTACTTCTTAGATAAAGTCATCTTGATCCATTTTTTTTTTTAAGACTTGATTAGATGCTCCTCTCTGGTACCATTATCATAACTTGTACATAGATCTCACATTTAGTACTTGCTATTGTGAAAGTCAATAGTTTGCCTCTGCTTGATGACTGGCCCTTGGTAGTAGAAGTTTCTTATTTATTGCCATATTTACAAAATCTAGCATACGTGAAATGATTTAATTAAGCATTTTTTAATACAAACACACAAAATACCCACTAAGTCAGATTATACAATGGAACACGTAAAAATCCCTTATTTTTCTATCAAACAAGAGCCTCTTGTCTCTCCAGGTACCTGATGATTCACTGACTTAAAGTTCTATCCATATTTTCTCCTTATTCCAATATGAGAAAATGACTCTCTTGTCTTCATAGCATCATAAAATATAATTTGAAAGTATTGTAAAAATCATGTTGTATAAAATATATCAATTTTAGGCTACCCAAGGCAATAATTTTTCTTTAAAAAATGCCATTACTAAGTAAAGATAAGAGAAATTATTGAGGATAGTCAAACTCTTGTTCAACCTAGATTACCTTTGAGCAACTCAAGAACCTTCAGTTTTAACTGCAAACAGCTTTCAGCATTCCC